CACTGCGATTCAGGGTGAGGTAAAGATCAGTATGGGGTAAGAATGTTTGTGGGGCATATTACTTGGTAATTTTAAGAAATAAGAGTTGCACGGTTTTAGGCTTTCATTAAAATGACCTAATAAGGGGCGCCTGGGTGGCTCAGTTGGTTAAGCAACTGGCTTTGGCTTGGGTCATGATCCCAAGGTCCTGGGATCGAGCCCCACATTGGGCTCCCTGCTCAGTGCAGAGCCTGCTTCTCCTTCTCCCTCTGTTGCTCTGCCTGCTTGTGCTCTCTCACTCTCTGTCAAATAAATAAATTTTTTGAAAAACAACTTTATCTAAAAAATGACCTAATAATACTGTTGGTGGGAATGCAAACTGGTGCAGTCACTCTGGAAAATGGTGTGGAGCTTCCTCAAAAAGTTAAAAATAGAGCTACCCTATGACCCAGCAATTGCACTACTGGGTATTTATCCAAATGATACAAACACAGTGATTCAAAGGGCACATGTACCCCAATGTTTATAACAGGAATGTCTACAATAACTAAAATATGGAAAGAACCCAGATATCCATCTACAGATGAATGGATAAAGAAGATGTGATATATATATATATATATATATATGCTACTCAGCCATCAAAATATATGAAATCTTGCCATTTGCAATGACGTAGATAGAACTAAAGGGTTTTATGCTAAGCAAAATAAGCCAATCAGAGAAAGAGAAAGAGAAATACCATAGGATTCCACTCATATGTGGACTTTAAGAAGCAAAGCAGATGGACGTAAGGGAAGGGAAGAAAAATAAAATAACACAAAAACAGGGAGGCAAACCATAAGAGGCTCTTAACTCTTGGAAACAAACTGAGGGTTGCTGGAAGGGGGGGTGGGTGGGAGGATGGGATAATTGGGTGATGGGCATTAAGGAGTACACTTGAAGTAATGAGCACGGTGTTGTATGCAACTGCTGAATCACTGAATTCTACCCCTGAACTATTAACAAAGTATATGTTAATTAAATTTAATTTAAATAAAAGATTTAAAAAAGAGAAAAATGACCTAATAATAATAACATGCAATAGTTATTCCTCCAGTTTATTGCGTTTGTATTTTTAAAGATTTATTTGAGCGGGGTAAGGGGCAGAGGGAGAGGGTCATAGACTCTCAGCTGAGCATGGATCCTGATGCTGGGTGATCTTGGGACCCATGAGATCGGGACCCATCAGTTCACAACCTGAGCTAAAACTAGGAGTCAGATGCTTAACGGACTGAACACAGGCACAGGCACCCCTGATGTGTATGTATGTGTGTGTATTTGTAAAGAACATTAGGCTTCCATTGTCTTGTAACTCAACTTTTCCCCATCGAAGATATCAAAAACATTGTTCTAAGAACCTATTATTTTGGGGTGCCTGGGTAGCTCAGTGGGTTAAAGCCTCTGCCTTAGGCTCAGGTCATGATCCCTTGGTCCTGGTATCCAGCCTCACATCGGGCTCTCTGCTCAGCAGGGAGCCTGCTTCCTTCTCTCTCTCTCTCTCTCTCTCTCTCTCTCTCTCTCTGTGCCTGCCTCTCTGCCTACATGTGATCTCTGTCTGTCAAATAAATAAATAAAATCTTAAAAAAAATCCTTTAAAAAACCCTATTATTTTATAACATGATCTATACTATGATTTTAACAATTATCCTTCTAGGGTTGATGGAATGTTTACTGGTGATTTTATTTTCTTACTTTGTGTTTTCCACACTTTCTAAAGTTAACGTGTATTGTCTCAACTAGAAAACCCTCAACTATAGAAAATAATTTCTTTCAACATTTTCATGCCTTATCCTGTTTCACCATTTTCTTTTTAAATCATTTTCAAAGTATTTTTCACCCTAGAGTGTGTTGCTATAATAACTTTTGCCTATTCACCACTAACTTCTAAAATCTGATTTTTATAATTGAAGAGATTTCAGTCAAGGGCTTTTCACGATAATTTCAATATTAGCTAAGGTTCTATTTTTGACACAGTCATTTATTTATCTCTAGAAGTACCCCAAACATGTGACATAAATCTGAGATTAAGGCACAATTTTTTTCTTTTGGAGTCAAGACTCTACTCAGACTATTTGCAATTTGATAATGGAAAATGGCTTAGGGATATTAATCCAACTACTGCATTTTACAGATAGCAAAACTGCTGCGGGCTATGTGAACTCTGGATGCAATGTTTGTTGGAGAAACACACACACAAAATCTCATTCAGGATTTCCAAATTTCCTTGTCAAGTTATCAGCACAAATCGTGTGCCTTTTCCCTCTCAAGGATTTGGCTTTCTTTTCCTTGTTATTTAGTAAATCCCCCAAATAAATCCTGTATTAGTTTGTTCAGGCTGGCATTAAGAATACCACAGATTACATGGTTTCAGTAAGAGAAATTTATTTTTTCACAGTGCTGGAGGCTACAAATCCCAAGATCAAGGTGTCCATAAGGTTCAGTTTCTGGTAAAAGCTCTCCTTCTGGCTTGTAGATGGCCTTTACTGAGTACGTGCGTGCGCGCGCGCGCGCACGCGCGCACACACACACACACACACACACACACACACACACATATCCAAAGAGAGAATGAGCAAGAGAGAGAGAGCACACCAGCATTCTGGTGTCTCTTCTTATAAGGATACTGATTCCATCTGATCAGGGCCTACCTTTATAACCTCACTTAACCTTACTTTACTCCTTACAAGTCCCTTTGCATATTCAGCCACAAGGGGAGTTAGGGCTTCAGCATATAAATGGGGGCACACATTCAGTCCATAACAAACTCTCTGCACAGAAGTTCAAGAAATAATGTCACATCATTGGGTTTCATAGTACACGTTCTAACAACACTTGGTAATTAGTTATCCATATCTTCTGGCCTTTCATAGTGGTCTTAGTTCCTCTTGTTCTGTACTGAATTTGTTTCATTGTTCATTTGTTTTTTTGAAAGAAAAACAAAAGCTTGGATATCCAATCTGGTGCCTTGATAATGAAAGTAATATGTCTGTATATGAAAGTATCCAGGATATTTGGATCTAAAAATATTAGTAACTTCTGATCAAATGGTCTTTCTTTAGGGCTTATTCTGACAGTTTCACAGCATCTTTTGTGAATTTTGGTCTTTTTTTTTTGGTCTCTTCAGACAATACTCAGTATTTTCCACCTACGTTACTGATTGTTTCTTCTGTTTTCCCAACTAACTCTTCCTTTGGCTTGTACTGTGCACGCATAGGCTGAATTCTATTGATCTTTTTATTCCAGGTCTTGAAGATTTCATATAATCTCACTCTTTTTTTTAAATTAATTTATTTTTTTTAATTTATTATTTTTTTTAAATCTCACTCTTCATCTATTATCTCTATGTGGGCCACTCTTGTGTATGTGTCCTTAGCCCTAACCTGCCCTGTAGGTTTCTTCTCTCTCCTGCCTCCAATGTTTACTGCACAATTGCATTTTGATTTCTTTCTTTCATCTCAATTCAGCATGCCCCAATCTGATCATTTCCTAGAAAATCAGCTTCTTTTTGTCTGGTCGCAGGAGCCAAAAGAACTCCGTACTTTTGTTCAACTGATTGATCGATTGATATAGTTGGGATTTACTGAGCACCTGCTATGTCAGACATTATGCTTGCTGATGCTTATATACAATTAATCACCAAATGTTATTCTTCTGTAAAGTCTTTCATGAGTGTCTGGGTCTTTTCCAATTTGAACTAGTTGTTTCATGTTTGGATTTTTTCAGTATCTCCTACCTGATGAGCCCCTAATTATCTTTCAAGATCCTATTGAAAAGTCACCACCTCTGCGATGTAGGTTGACTTGTGGGCTCCCATTAACCACTGATGCCTTTTGACCGTGACCTCAATTGGAAATATAGGCATACATGGAACATATTGCAGATTCAATTCCAGACCACTGCAATAAAGCAAATACTGCAATAAAGTGAGTCAAATAAATTTTTGGTCTCCAAAGCATATAAAAGTTTATACTATATTACACTATACTGTATTACCCTCTACTGTAGTGTATTAAGTGTTCAATAGCATCATTTCTAGAGAAAAAGTATATCTCTTAATTTAAAAATATTGCTAAAAAATGCTAACCATCATATGAGTTTTCACAGGGTAGTACTCACTGTGCAGATCACCATAAAAAACATTATAATAGTGAAAAAGTTTGAAATATTATGAAAATTACCCAAATGTGACAGACACATGAGAAGTGAGCAAATGCTATTGGAAAAATGATGCCAATAGACTTGCTCAATGCAGGGTTGCCATAAACCTTCCATTTGTAAAAAACACGGTATCTTCAAAGCATAGTAAACTGAAGTACAATAATATGAGGTATGCCTGTAAAAATCTCTGCAGATGTAATCGAGTTAAGATGAGGCCACACTGGAATAGGACTGGTGTCCTTATAAGAAGAGGGAAATTTGGACACAGAAACACAGACGAAAGAAGGCCTGGTGAAGATGATGGCAGACATTGGAGTGATGCAACCACAAGCCAAGGAAATCCAAGGACTGCCAACACCAGAAGAGAGGCATGGGACAGATTATCCGTGAGAACCTCCATAAGGAACTAACCCCGCTGACAACTTCATTTCAGACTTGTGCCCTCCAGAACTGTAAATGAAGACATTTCTGTTGTCTTAAGCCACCAGTTTGTGCTAATTTATTACAGCAGTCCTAGCAAACTAAAACACTGTGAAGCCATTTATAATCTTCCCAAAGCTCTCATTTCTTTTGCAGTCTCATTTACCATGATTTTTTTTAACTTGCTATTTAATGTCGCTTAAGTGAAGGAAAAATGTCATCTAAAATTATTAGCACAGGGTGCCTGGGTGGCTCAGTCGTTAAGCGTCTGCCTTTGGCTCAGGTCATGATCCCAGGGTCCTGGGATCAAGCCCCACATGGGGGGGGGTGGGGACCCTGCTCAGCAGGAAGCCTGCGTCTCCCTCTCCCACTCCCCTTGCTGTATTCCCTCTCCCGCTGTGTGTCTCTCTGTCAAATTCATAAATCTTTAAAAAAATTATTAGCACCAATTTTATCATTGACCCTTATATGCTATAATACCAGTTTTAAAGGCAAGCTCATAAGGATCACCAAAATTACAGTTTGTATTTCCTAGCCTGTATATACATAAGCATTTCATTCTTACTAGAACTGTGGAACAGCTATATACAAACTCAAAATATTTTTATCATACTTCTTGAGATGTACACATTCTACTAACACTCTTAACCTTCAGCTTACTAGCAAGGATGTACAGGAAAAGAAATTATGGTTGGCCCTCTTTTCCTTTCCTTCAATAGCTTCATTTTAGTGTTAGTAATTGGCTAATATTGGGAAGAAACACAAGTAAAAAAGGATATGCTAGGATTGCTTGGACATTCATGCTTCTTAGAACACCACCGCCTTATTTTTGCATTCATAGTAAGTTCCGATTGGTAAGGAGAGATTGGTAAAACAGTCCTTCGTACTGTCTGTGCCCTCCCATCCCTTCCTTTACTATCCAGTCTCATTCTTTGTCACCCGTATCTTACCCTAAGCTTCGCACCTCATCTGAACCTACCCGCATCACTTCAGTCTTCTCTGGTTGGCCCTTGTCTTCTGTGCTCATGGGGCATTACCTCATTCGGAAAGCCTGGCTAATAGAAAGTGCTCAAGAAATTTAGGGAATATTATTAATATTAAAAATAATAAAAAGTGTATCTCCCGTGTGATTATTGAAGGACCATGTGAATGAGCTGAGTATTTGTTGAAAGAACAGATGGATGGGACCTCGCTTCTATCACTTTCAGCAACTCTCCAGGTCAGAGGATTTAAAAAAAGCTTGTCGAGGGAAAATCTGAGAAAAGCTGCATTTTAGATGACGCCGAGAACGTAATTCATTTTCTCTCCCGCCCCAAGCTGAAGCAACCTCCTTCCTCTCAGCCTTACCCCAGCGCCGGGGGTGAGCGCATCGATGAGCGCAGGCTGCGCTCGGCTAGTTGGGGCTGGAGCGCTTCATCCCGGAAGTGGCTTGAAGGCCGTTGAGTCCGCGTCGTTTCCCTAGCTCGGCGGGGTCGCTGGGGTGCTGCTGCCGACATGGCCGACCCCGACCTCCGCTACCCCTGCTCCTCCATCGAGGATGATTTCAACTATGGCAGCTGCGTGGCCTCGGCCAGTGTGCACATCCGAATGGGTACGTCCTCCCTCCCCCCTCGTCCCTTCCCGTTCCCCTCCCCCCTCCCCTTCCCCCACCCCGGTCCCTGCGGGCGGCTCCGCGCCGAGCCTGCTGCGCTGTCGGCCTCTAGGGGTGGCTTTAGGCTTCCGCCGGCAGCTCCTCCCGGGGCCGGGCTCGCTGGCTGAGCGCGGCTCCCTTGGGGTTCAGAGGAAAGCCTGGCTTGCGGCTCCCCGCCCCGCGCCCCGGACTCCGCGGAAGAGCGCCCTCCCCCGGGAGTCGGGAGGAAGCGCTCCCAGGGAGGGCGCGGCCCTGAGGAGGCGCCGTGGTCGGGTAGCTGCGCGTTCCCTTCGGGAACCGTAGCTGAAGCCCATCCCGCTTTAATCCTGCCTTCCTCCCCGCACAAAGGGACATGAAAACCTTGGCAGCCTTTATTTGGCATCTTGATATTAAAAGAAATTCAGGGTTGCTTTTTAAGGTGAAAATAAATTTATTAGGTGGTTATTGTGACGTGCACCTGAATGCAGTTATTTGCTTACATGTTTTTGGTTTGGGGGTGTGATCGCGTTTCAAGTTTCTGTATACTCGGGTGTGTCCTTTGCTGGGTTGTAGGATGTGTGGGGACAGGGACCATCTCTGTTCTTCTTCACTATTTAGTGTCTGCAAGACCTGGAACTCAACATAAGTTTGAGATTTAATTGAGGCAGTTGCTGGAAATGGAAGCTTTAGAGGCCAATCAAAATGCAGTATTAGTTTTAAGTTATTATGCAGTATTTACTGAATTTAAAATGCTTAAAAAATATAAAATGCTTAGTTTCACGTAAGTGGAGTTCATTGTCCGTTCTAGTTCAGCCAATTGATTACAGAGGTTGTCCTATATTTTCATTCTGTCCCCGTGGCTGGAACTTATTCTGGAAAAAGAATTAGGACGATCTGATGCGCTAAGAATCTTGATCCCTGATATCTATGATATTTCTGGAATTGAATTTTGGAATGATTTTGGCAAATGAGCATAGTTTTTTCAATTAAATTTTTAATTGTGGTGAAACACATTTCATTAAAAATGCACGTTCTTAACCATATTTAAATGTACAGTTCAGTAGGTATTCACCTTGTTGTATAACCAGTCTCCAGGACTTTTTAATCTTGTAAAACTGAAATTCTGTATCATCAAAGAACTCGCTGTTTCCCCCTCTCCCAGTGCCTGGCAATGATCATTCTACACTCTGCTTTATGAATTTGGCTCCACTAGATACCTCATATAAGTGGAACCATACAGTGTGTATCTTTTTGTGACTGGTTTATTTCAGTTAGCATGTTTTTAGGTTGTATCCATTTTTTTTTTTTTTTTTTTTTTTTTTTTTAAGAGAGGGAGGTGGGGAGGGGCAGAGGGAGAGGGAGAGGGAGAGAGAGAATATTAAGCAGGCTGCATGCCCCGGGCAGAGCCCATCTTGGGGCTGGATTTTACAACTCTTGAGATCTGACCCAGGCCAAACTCAAGAGTCCAACACTTAACAACTGAGCCACCCAGATGTCCCAGGGTGTAATTTTGTAGCATGTGTCACACTTTGCTTTTTTTTTTTTTTTTAAGATTTTATTTATTTATTTGACAGATAGAGATCACAAGTAGGCAGAGAGGCAGGCAGAGAATGAGAGGAGGAGGCAGGTTCCCTGCTGAGCAGAGACACTTTGCTTTTTAAAGCTGAATAATTTTCCATTGTGTGACAAAATCACATTTTGTTTTTCTGTTTAGCCACTTGTAGACCTCTGGATAGCTTCCACCTCACTACGAATCACTGCTATAAACGTGTGCACAATACCCACTTGGGATCCTGCTTTCAGTTGTTTTGTCTGTATACCCAGAAGTGGAATTGCTGGATCATATTTGTTTTAGTGAAAAACCCATTTTTTCCCACCTGAGTAGGGAAAGAACCAGTTCTTCCTCCTGTGTTTCTCCTTTATTACTCACACAGAACACTTCAGTTTTGATACTTGTGGTCACCAAGAGTGTGTCCCCCCCCCCCATATCAGGCAGTTTCTCCATGACACCCGCTCTGTGTCATAAACTCATGACACATGAGTTCATGAGACTCATGAGACATGAGTCTGAACTCAATTCTGATGCTCTCTCTGAGTGGATAGTATCAGATCCCCCAGGTTAAGGTCTCAGTCCCATTTAAGACTGCTCTCACCCCACTTCAGATGCTGGTTGCAAGTAATAGGTCCCAAGGTTACCCATAACTTGTCTGACTTGGCTATACATTGAAGGTTCCCATGACTCCCTTTTTGGTTTTGATGAATTTACCAGAGCAGCTCACAGAACTCAAGGAAACATTTATATTTACCAGTTTATTAAAAGATACAGGTACACAGCCAGATGAAGAGAGATACAGTGGGAGGCACAGGTGCTTCTGTCCCCACAGAGTTGAGTTGTGTCACCCTTCCAGCATGTGGATGCGTTCACCAACCTGGAAGCTCTCCAAACCCCATACTCGTAATGTTTTATGGAGGCTTCCTCACTTAGGGATATCAATTATTAGCTCCATATTCAACCTTTTCTCTTCTCCCCACTTCGGCAGGGCTGAAAATTCTGCACTTGCTTATGGCTTGTTCTTTCTGGTGACCAGCCCTCATCCGAGAGCTCATGTGGGATCACCTCAGTAGAACAAAAGACACACCTATTACACAGAAAATTATCAGGGTTTCAGGAACACTGTGTCAGCAACTGGGGTGAAAGACCAAATGTTAGAACAAAAGATGCTCCTAGTGCTATCACTTAGGAAGTTACAAGGGTTCCAAGAACTCCGTGCCAGGAAGCTGGGGCAGAAACCAAAATACATATTTTATATCATCTCACAGTATGGTAATTGTATTTTTAGTGTTTTAGGGAATCACGATACTGTTTTACATCGCGACAACACCATTTTCTATTCTAACCAACATTGCACGAGTGTTAGAGTTTCTCTACATTCTCACTGACACTTGTTCTTTTCCCTGTTTCTCTGAAGGTAGCCATCCACATGGGTATGAGGTGATATCTCATTGTGGTTTTGCTTTGCATTTCCCTAATACTTAGTAATGTTCAGCATCTTTTCATATACTTATGGGCCATTTGTATCTTCTTTGTAAAAATGTTATTTAAATACTTCGCCCTTTTTAAAGATGGACTTAATTTTTTTAAGCAGTTTAGGTTCACAGCAAACAGAGTGGGAAGTACAGAGTTCCTACATAACCTGTTCCTACTCATACATAACCTTTCCCACTTTGTTATAATCCATGAGCCTAAGCTGACACATTATCACCCAGAGTCCGTAGTTTATATTAGAGTTCACTCTCACTATTGTGCATCCTATGGGTTTGACAAATACGTAAAGACAAAGATCCCCCATTATAGTATTATATGGGATAGTTTCATTGTCTTAAAACCCCTCTATGCTCTGCCTGTTCATCCTTCCCTCCCACCAGCCCCTATAACCACTGATCTTTTTATTGTCTCCATAGTTTTACCTTTTCCAGAATGTTGTATAGTTGGAATCATACAGTATATAGCCTTTTCAGATTGATTTCTTTAACTTAGTAATGTGCATTCAAGATTCCTCCATATCTTTTCATGGCTTGATGGCTTATTTCTCTTTAGCGCTGGATAATAGTTCATTGTCAGCATGTACTTCAGTTTACTCATTCCCCTACTGAAGGACATCTTGGTTGCCTCCAAGTTTTGGCAGTTATGGCTAAAGTTACTATATAAACCTCCATGTGTAGATTTTTTTGTAGTCATAACTTTTCAGCTCATTTGGATAAATGCCAAGGAGTATGATTGCTGGATTGTATGATGAGAGTATGTTTAGTTCTGTAAGACACTGCTAGAGCACAGTTGCTGGATCGTGTTAAGAGTGTGATTAGTTTTGTAAGAAACTGTCAAACCATCCTCCAAAATAGCTATACCACTTTGCATTCCAGCAGCAATGAATGAGAGTTCCTGTTGCTAGACATTCTTGTCAGCATTTGGTGGTGTCAGGTTTTGGATTTCAGCCATTCTAATAGGTGTATAGTGTTTTAATTTGCATTTCCTTGATGACATATGATGTTGAACATCTTTCCATATGTTATTTGCTATCTGTATATTTTGTTCAGTGAGGTGTCTGTTCAGGTCTTTTGCCTGCTTTTTCAGTGAGTTGTTCATTTTCTTATGGTTGAGTTTGAAGAGTTCTTTGTATATTTTGGATAACAGTAGTTTTATCAGATGCATCTTTGCATATGTTTTCTGTTAGTCTGTGGCATCTCATTCTCTTGACTTTGCCCATATTTTAATTGGGTTATTTATTTTTTTGTTGTTGAATTGTAAGAATTCCTTATATATTCTAGATATTAACCTCTTATATATAATGACTTAAAATTCTCTCCCATTCTGTAGGTTACCTTTTTACTATGTTGATTACATCCTTTGATGTAAGGGTTTTAAATTCTGATGTAGGACAATTTATCTATTTTTACTTTTGTTGCCTGTGCTTTTAGTGTCATATTCAAGAAATCATTGCCAAACCCAATGTCATGAAGCTTTTCCCCTGTGTTTTTTTCCTAGGGTTTTTACAGTTTTAGGTCTGATGTTTAGGCCTTGAAGTTATTTTGAGTTAATTTTTGTACGTGACATAAGGTAAGGGTTCAACTTAATTCTTTCACATGTGGCTATCCAGTTTTCCTAGCACTGTTTATTGAAGAGATAGTGCTTTCCTTCATTGAATGGTGTTGGCATTCTTGTTGAAAATCACTTGACCATATATGCACAGGTTTACTTCTGGTCTTCTGTTCCATTGTTCTATATGTCTGTCTTGCTAGTATTTGTTGATAAGTTTCAAGTCAGTATTCACCAAGGATACTGGTTTGTAGTTTTCTTTTTTTCTAGTGTCTTTGGCTTTGATATTGGGGTAAAGCTGGTTTATAGAATGAATTTGGGAGTATTCTTTCCTCTTCAGCTTTTTGGGATAGTTTGTGGAAGATTGGTTTTCAAACTCAGCTTTTTA